TCGTTAAATGGAGGTACTACGCTAATTTCCGCTCCAGTGTCAACTAAGAATTGTGCGCCAGTGGTTCGGTCTTGTATATAAAAGAGGCGACTATTTTCAGGCATTATGTGTGTTGATGCCGTTGCCATTGATACTCGTGGGTATCGGTTACCAGTCCTGTTAAACCCACAAGGTTGTAGGCACTTTCTAGCCCTGTAGCCGAACATTTGGTGATACCAACATATCGCGGGAGTTGTGCGTCGTCTAGAAGTTGACCGGGTCCTTTCACGCGAGCGATCTCGCGATGACCTTCGTGGCTTTTCTCTCTGCGTTAATTCTGTGAGTTTGCGGCATAAAACATTTATTTCCTTCTGTAGAGTATCAAGTCTATCGTCTACCGTCACGTTGTGTAGTGGAGGGCTTGCTTGCTTGCTTCTTTCGTATATTCTATCGGCTATCTTTGCTATATTGTCTAAATCAGCAGCCGTATCTCCCACAGCTAGTATCTGCTGTATTTTTGCCGGGAGTCGGCGGAGCCACAGTTGATAAAAGAGATTATTGTCAATGTGTCTATCGCCAAGTAGACTTTTCATATAATTTTTTAGCTGTGATGGGGTTCTATCTCCAATTTGTACTTGGCTAAGGAGTTGTTCGACGGCTTGTTGGTCACTGAGAGAGAGAGTTTTAATTACTGCCTCTTTAAGCACGTCGTATGGTTTTTCTGTGTCTGGTTTTGCTAGTGCCTCTCGAACGCTGTCAGCTACTTCGTCTGGGAGTAGTGTGCTTGTCAGGCCGAACTTATCCTTTTGCAAAAGAATGCGGTTAGCGAGAAAATAATTTTCAAGTCTTATAAACCAAAGTTTTGGGTCTGTGATTTTAAAAGAAGGGGCAGGGAGGTTAAGAGACCTCACGGACGAGGCTTGCTGTACGCTTGAAACTGTGTTTTCATAAGACATGCTTATAAAAATTAAGTAGCACACGAAAATAATTTAACAGTCACAAGGAAGAATAGATGAGCAAAAACAATGATAATAAAAAAATGGCACAATTTATAAAATGGAACAGACTTACTAAATTGCACCAATATATCAATTGTTTATGGATAATTGTTATTTATTATGATTATAATCGTCACGTTTAATAATGTTTGCGAAATAATGTAAGTGTAATTAGAATAATAATATAAATCCACAGTTACAATTATAGTTTATTTGATAATCCAAATTGAGATGAAGGTAGTCCGATTTTTGGAATTTGATTATTTCGCCAAAATTCGCTTCCCGTTCTCACGTCGGGATTACCAATTCTGTAGTGGCTGTGCTTCGATAATTAATCACCCTCGAACCGTTATCGTATAATCTTCAACGATGTTTGAAATCAGAAGGCAAAAAGAAGCAGCTACTACAGTTTATTTAGTAGATAATTCGGACCAGACAGCAGAGAGGCAAAATGAATGAGCAAGCGAACTACGATTGTAGCAGTAGCAAGTAGTAGTAGTAGTAGTTGTTGTTGTAGTAAATGGGTGCAAATGTACACATATATATATGTATAGGAAAATGGATGAGTCAGCGAATAGATTAAGCAGTTAATAATGAAGCTAGCCGAATGAATACATGCGTAGGCGCTAAACAATGTTCAAGCATATGTATTTCATACAAGCATAATAATAAAGATAGTACAACAAGTTGTTATATCATGGATGACTTTGTCCATTAAATAGGTCAACAAAATACCTTGACTGAACTAAACTCGATTGCACGTGAGTCGCTATAGGTATACTAAGCAATAGGGAAAGACATCTGGGTGGATCTTATAGTGTCGTGGCTCAAAGAACAGATAATGGCGACCGTCTGTTGCAGCTATGCTCAGATAACCGCCTGTTCCTTGCAAATACTAACTTTAAGCATAAGGATAAACATCTTTTAACATGGCGACCCCCTAATTCGTCCCAACGTTGGACCCAAATAGTTACATCGCTATCAGCCACCGATGGGGGGGGCTCGATAGAAGACTGTCGCTCATTCTGGAGCACATGCTTAGATTCAGATCATGCTCTAGTGCGAGCGTGTATTTGCCAGCGTCTTACCTGACGTAAGAAAGACTCTGCAAGGAAACCTCTTAGGGCCCTACTTAATGATAGTCAAGCTAAGAGTATATTTCAGGAACAACTAGGAAAACAGTTAGGCAGCCATGTATGTGATGCCCACCCCGATGCAGCATAAAATGATATCCGGAAAGCTGTGGAAACAGCAGTGATATCTGGTATTAAGGTAACCCGTAGAGTTAGGGAGCAACACTGGATCTCAGCAGCATCTATCGCACTGATAGATGCTCGGAAACTCATTCTACCTGGCTCTGAACATAATGAAGAGCGGAGTCAGCTTAAGCGCAAGCTGATAAGAAGTCTACGCAATGATTGTGAACAGTGGTGGGTAGCGAAAGCAAGAGAGATGGAAAAGGCAGCGGCAATAGGTAATAGCAGACAATTGTTTAGACTCGTTAAGGAAACCGGAATTAGGAACCCGACCGTTAGCGAAACAATCTCAGAAAGATGGACATATTATTCATTCTCAATCCAGGAGATTGGATCGATGGGCAGAACACTTTAGGGATCAGTTCAACTGGCCTTCAGCCACATTTCGGTTTCTAACGACCTCCAGTCAACCTGAATGGCAAGTTAGTGTAGGTCCTCCGACTCTACGAAGTTGAAAAAGCCATAGGAAATCTGAAACGAGGGAGAGCAGCAGGCCCTGACAGGTTTATTCCTGAGATTTTTAAGGATGGTGGTCCAGTATTAGCAGTGGGATTAACTGAGGTTTTAGGTAGAATTTGGGAACTGGACGTAATCCCATCTGACTGGTCTCAATCACTGATTGTGCCAGTTTTTAAGAAAGGACAAAAGTCCTCTTGTGACAATCACAGAGGAATCAGTTTGACTAATATAGTGTCTAAAATATTAGCTTGAATAATACTTCGACGCCTAATCAAAGCTCGTGAAGAGCAGACTAGAGAAAATCAGGCTGGTTTTCGACCTGGACGTGGTTGTATAGACCACATATTCACAATACGTCAGGTTCTAGAACATAGACACACGTTCAGACGCCCTACAATGGTAGTATTTCTCGACCTTAAAGCAGCATTCGACTCGGTTGATCGTAAGGTTCTATGGCAGTGTTTGTCACTGAAAGGAGTACCAAAGAAGTACATTAACCTTATAAAGGCTCTCTACTCGAACACAACTGGTAGAGTGAGAGCTTATGGCGAACTGTCATCAGAATTGATTACCTCAAGTGGTGTTCGTCAGGGCTGTCCACTCTTTCCATTCTTGTTCAACTTTGTCGTTGACGTACTTTTAGAGATAACACCTTCCTCGTCTAGATTTCCAGGGGTTGAACTTCTACCGGGAGGTTCACTTGTTGACTTAGAATATGCTGATGACATAGTTTTATTTGGTGAAGACGCTGACAAAATGCAGAGTCTTCTGACCACTCTAAGCAACAATGGAAGCATGTTCGGGATGCGATTCTCCCCCTCGAAATGCAAAATGTTGCTCCAAGATTGCGTTGCATTGACACCCGAACAAGTGATAGGGAGTGAAGTAATTGAGCGTGTCGATCGCTTCATTTATCTTGGAAGACTCATCAGCCCTTGTGGTCTGCACGGATACAGAAGGCTCGACTAGCTTTTGCCAACTTGCGTCATTTATGGCGTAGGCGAGATATCTGTCTACCAACCAAAGGACGTGTTTACTGCGCAGCAGTTCGTTCCATCCTACTTCATGGCTGTGAAACATGGCGGGTCAGAGTAGAGGATATTCCTAAATTACTAGTATTTGATCATAGGTGTCTTCGAAGCATTGCTCGTATATCCTGGGACCATCGAGTAAGTAACACAGTTGTTAGGAAACGGGTACTAGGCGAGGATGGCAAATCAATTGATGAAGTAGTGAAACTTCATCAGTTGAGATGGCTGGGACACGTGTTACGTATGCCCAACCACCGACTACCTCGGCGTGCGATTTTCACTGGTATAGGAGTAGGTTGGAAGAAAGGTAGGTGCGGCCAGACCAAAACATGGCACAAATCCGTGAAGTCACTGACAAGTGGATTGAGTCATGTTGGTAGGTGTAGACTACCTGGTTGGGGATCGCGAGATGATAGCAACCGATGGTTAGAGACCCTGAATGACATGGCTCAAAATCGTTTACAATGGCGCAGGTGCATACACCCTTTGTGTTCTCCCAAATTTTGATCTCCTTATTCCTCCTTGTCTCTTTTTTTTCTCTTCCCAAATTTATTTCACTGTATTATATTCCTTGAATAACATCTTCAAATACTAATCTTTCCGATTACTGCTTATACTCTTATTACCTCTACCACTACGGGATTTGAATCGACCACTGCATCTCTGTGCTAATGTGGTGTGGCGACTCGAACTGATGTACGTACGTACGAAGTTCTACGTTGTTACTGACTGACTGATTTGAAATATTCAATGTTATGTATCAGACCGTAGCGTTATGTACATTGTGGTTAATGGAAAATGTGTGAAGTTATTTTTAAGCAATACGAAGTTAAGTGATCTTTTTACTCTGTGTTATCAACAACAGATGTAGGTATATCAACGTGATATATAGTACTACTAGGATTTTTCTTAATCATCAGTAAAAAGGATAAATCAAATCGCTCGTCATCATTTTCTGCTAGGTTACCAGTATAAGGATTTTCGAATATCTGTTAAGTTGTTTTCATTCTCACTGTAGTTTTCTGCCTAAAAGATAAATGTTGAATATCAAACAAAAAAAGTCATTCCCTGTACTACAACACATTTTGGTGTGCCGACTGAATTTCTAAGATCTCTGAGCTTATCTCTAAATTCGATGTATCTTTTGAGTTTAATAACATATCGGCACTACCTGCTAAGCACTTTTAATTCCTTTCTGTATATGAATTCAATTTTTCTATAGATTAATTTATTTTCTTATACACCAATTGTACTTTTTGCTCTGTTAATCCATCCAGATATCTTTGCATCTACTTCACGCGATGGTAGTATACGTATGTGGGATACTCGGGTTAAACCGGACGCACTAAATTTTCGAGGTATTATTTTGCTAATTTAAATGAACAATTTTTTTGCAGCTTCGTCATTATATTACCGTAATTGTTTGGTAACAATTTATCATATAATGTGAGCCGTATTGTGCCGCAAAATGATACCATTATCATAGCATATTTCGAGTTTAGTAATCTTATTCAATTCAACAATAAAAAAACAAAACGATCATGTGGGTGTCTAGTACTTTACATAGTAACTAGAATAATCCCTTCAAATCCTAAAGTCTTATTACTTTGTTTCCGAAAGAGATGCCAATGTATGTAGAATTTACATCTGTAGAGTTTTAAATGGAATATAGGGACTATTAGCTTAATCTGTCTACTATGATTCAATGGTTTTCCACCTGGAAAACGTTAAAGCTATTTGTATAATGTATTGCTTAATCATTTTGATTAGTTTTAACACTATTCCTTGTAGTGTGTAGTTTGCTATTGGCACCAACTTTTGCATCGTCATTACTATGATCATACTAACATACCCGTTTGTATAATCGCAACTGGTTTTTGCTCGGCTGAAAATTGACGGATGAACGGCTTTCTGTATCCACTTATTCGTATACATCCAGCTGTTATATTAAAGAGACATTTTTGTGCACAATACATCAAGCGAAAAGCAGTGACATGATAGTTATCGTGGGCAATTTTTCACTTCATAAGCATAAACTATGTTGAATGAGGTGTTACCATACAATATATATTAATTTTGTCGGTTTGATGATTATTAAATAATTGAATTCACGAACCAATCTAAGCTAGACCACTACTGAAGACCTGGAAGTAGTGGACGGCCGTTTCACCCTAGTATGGGACTCCTCGGCAGTGCGCAACCACGATCCCACATGTGGGACTCGGACCCAGAGCTCGAACGCTTAACTCCTTAACCACTGAGCCGTCATCCAACGGTGTTAATGTCTAACTTCAATCGATCTGTGATCTTGCGCAACCCTTCAATTGTCTGAGGTGGATAACTGTCTCTACCGGACACGGACTGGAATCCACTGATCACGAACGCGCACTGCTGAGGAGTCCCATGCTAGGACGAAATGGCCGTACAGTGCTTCCAGGTTCCCAATGGTGGTCTAGCTTAGATTCGTTCGTGAATTCAATTGTTAAGATCATTACAATATTTATAAATCCCCATATCCATTCTTAAAAAGTCTGTTAATTTCTTTTCCAATCTTAGTTTTTACGAATATTGGATAGCTAGTTTTCTTTGAGATTTCTGTGTACGCGTACTACTTTTCATGCATGACATGTTTTGATTATCTGTACCACTAGTTTTAATCACTCGGTTGTTATCAATTGCGTCCCGGCTCCAAAATTAAAATAAGATCTCTGATCCTTCATAAAATAAGTATTCTGAAGCCCACAATATAAGTCTACAATTAGTCACTGACTAGCGTTCTGATCATCCATTTGTTTTCGGATATTTTACCCCTCTAAATGTTGTTAGAATGCAGATATTTTCCGTTCATTATCTCAAGGCTTTTCAAGCCATTTATGCCACTGAACGTATACAATCCATTAGTTATTACTTTGGATCCATTTTATATATCGTTCTAATGCTTGCCAACATTCATCCTTTTTCGATATAAAGTTCACGAATTTTAAACCAAAGTTTACATCTCATTGAAGCACTTTATATATATATATATATATATATATATATATATATATATATATATATATATAAATGCATTTCAATTGCTTCAATTAAAAAGGAATCTATATTCTTACTAAGTTTATTGTGTTCGTTGTTACCTACAACTTAATCAATGAATAGACCTGTTATCTTAATATTTATCTGTTACATCTTCATGGCACATCTTTTTTCCAAGAAAACCTCAGTGAACATTGAGTGTACTGGTCTGCTGATGTCGATCCCTTGTTACTATTGTATTATTAATTAATTAATTAATTATTACCATTAACTAGGCTCACCAGGAATATCAAGTGTTGGAGTTTTACCACAATGTCATGTACCGTTTTTGCCTAATTCTTCTAATACAGACGGGAGAAGAACACGTACTCCAAAGCGTTCAGCGGTATGTCGTACGGAATTTAACTAAATATCCTTCGCATTGGTTGTTGCTGATGAAATTTTACTACCTTAGTTGTTATTAGTTAATGAAATATTGATAGCTATAATGAAATGCGACTTTCATGGTGAACTAAACTGCCTATTCTTTCACATATTACAATTCCAACCTTCGATTTTGAGTGTTTTTGGTTTGAGCGAATTGTTATTTATTTATTTACTTGAACACGTGAATATTGTTACAAAGGGGCACCAAATACATATACGCCACACAATAATAATGAGGTTGTGAAGAGACAGAGAACGAAAATTGCATATAATTAAAAAAACAACGACGAACAGATATTAGTGTATGAGAGAAAAATAATAATGGGAGAAACAGTCCAGTTAGGAAAAATATAACCAGAAAGAATTCTTTCAGTTAAAGAATTTACGTTCATGTTTATGAAGAAATTTACGGCGGGATCACTATTGGCCTCTATTGTGAGCCATTTCTGATAAATTCTCTAGCCACCGTGTTGCACCATATCTAGGGCCACAACCAGGGAGTAGTGAAGGACCATCAGAAGCCAGTCCTGTGCAGATTTCCTTCATACCACGACACGCCGCTTTTTCCAACTGATCCTAGCGTCGACAAATAATGCACAACGTGAAATTCTCTGGGATGACATTTGTAGAACACGTCCAAGCCACCGAAGTCAAAATGATGACACCGGTTGAATTTTCACCGCTGTGCCCCGAACATGCGTTGCTGAACCTCTGCATTATCAACATGGTGTTGCCACTAGATATGTCAACAATCCTTCGGAGACAACGATGATGAAGCAGAGAGAGTCGTCCAACATCCTCAACTCGGAGAGGCCAGGTTTCATAAGCATAAAGCAAAACTACTCTTATCAACGCGTTGTAGATTCGACCTTTTATAACGTCATCGATAACAAAGTCGAAGAGGAATGGTGAAATTAGGCAACCTTGCCTAACCTCACTACTTGAATGGAACAGTGGAGAGAGTTGGTTGTATGCTATCATTATCTAAGGTGTTTGTGTATGGGGCTCTCAGTATATTAATAAACTTCTCAGGTACACTTCAATAGACAATCTAAGAGAACAGTCCTGTCCAATGAATCGAAGGAGGCCCCAGTGTCAAGAAACACTACGATGGTTGGCTTGTGATAAGTATGACGCCGTTCTAACATTTGGCGGAGGATGAAGATATGATCAATACATTTCTGATCAGAACGAAAACCAGCTTGCTCCTTGCGAGTCAATCTTTCTCGGGTTTTGAAAAACCTGCGAAGCAGGATGGAAGTCAATAATTTGACGCGATCGGAAGTAGACTTATTCCCCAATGGTTGTTGCAAAAACGACGTGAACCCTTTTTAAAGATAGGGATGACTATTGACTCATCCCACGATGTCAGAATTTGTTCTAATTACCAGACCTTTTTGAACAACTCAGTCAGTTTCATAACCAAAAATTCGCCACGATCTTTAAAATGGGTCGAAGGTGAGTCATCTGAGTGACGCTTCAAGAGTTGGAATTCCTCCCGGACTCCCGCGCCCTTAGGTGAATCAATCGTCACAGGCTATGACAGTAGGACAGTCTGATTGATGTTGCTGGAGCAGTAGACCAGTTGAACTGCTCTTTGAAAAACTGTCCATCGTCCAAAACTTCGATAGATGTTACTGATTGGCATTACGCCACTTTCACAGATTGTTGCACTCACATCAGACTTCTTGCTGCTGGTTCTTCCGGTAGTTACCAGATGCGGCTGCTGCTTCCGACTCATTGGGGCGCTCCGACCACTAGGCCTCTCGGTCCTTACACAAGCTTTGCTCAATCCATTACGTAAAAGTCTCCGTTTGCGGTCAAACTCGTGGCCATCTGGGGTAGACCGACGGGTTTCAATGAGTTTTAAGGAGTCTGCGAAAACCCAGTGCTTGTAAGCGGCACGTTTTAAGAAGCTGTAAGCGACTCTACCCGCCATTTTCATGGTGTCATGCAATTGCAACCAATGCTCATCCATACTTTTCGTTGGGTTGGTAGCTAGCCTTGAACATAGCTCGGTTTGATATTAGTTTGCAACATAATGTACAACCAATTTTCTGACATCTATCCGTTTAGGGTGATGAATTTGTTGGTCGCTGAAACGTAAAGTAAGATTAGTGCAAACAAGGTCATGATCTGAGTCCAGATAGGTACTCCAAAAGGAGCGGTAGTCTTTTACACAAACAAGCCAGCGGTAGCTGATCGCGAAGTGGTCAATCTGAGTCCAGAAGTAAGATGAAGAGAGAAGACGCCAGGTAGCACGTTGGCGATGACTGTGCCGGTAGTTAGTGCTAACCGGAAACACTTTATAGTCTGTACATCGTTGCGGTAGGCAGTCACCGTTATCTGACCTGAGACCAACAAGTCCCCATCGGCCACATAAACGATTCTCTTTTGTGCCTAGACGCCCGACCTGAGCATTCAAGTCTCCGGCTAGTACTACAATATCTGTCGAACGCACTTTCTGGAGAAGAACAGATAACTGGTGGTAAAACTCATCCTTGATCGCATCCGGGCTGCAGTTTGTCAGGACGTAGGCGGAGATGAAATGACATCGTTTCTCACACCGATTTCCTCTTACTTCGATGTAACTTTCTAACCTAACAGCATATAACCGACTGTTAATCGAGATCCAGTCGGTCAGTGCTACCTCAGCCCTAGCACTTAGTGCGACACCAACGCCAGCAAGACCAAACGAAGATGCCACAGGGTCCGTGGATAAACGCACGTAAAACAAGCTTTTTGAAGCGACAGATGGAGTGCAAATTTGTAGTACTTCACCAGAGTCTTAAATACGGGTCTCGGATAGACACCAAACGTCTATATTAAGACTTTCCAAAGACATAGCCAGCTCTATCTGTTGTCCAACCTGCATAATTGTGCTAACGTTGAAGGCAGCCAGTTTGAATGGTGCACGTGGTTTCAGTATTCGTATTCGGTGGTAGTATTCAACTTCCGACTAGTCAGTGACTTGAGATTGTTTAGTTAGGACAGGGTTTCCACCATGGGCGAGCTGCTGTATCGGTTAAAAATAAAATTCGCAAAACGAAAATAAAGGGGAATACATAAATGCCTTAGTATAAAAGAAGTAAATACGAACGTTATCATATGATCGTGAATAGGATTTGTCCGAGCGAGCATTGAAGCAATAGGAAATTTTCCAATCGTAGTTATCATTGATTTGTGTGACGACTGTGATACTGCCCGGGCCCCCAAACTGAAGCAGTGGGTATTTCAGGGAACCACTCCTCGAGCCTTTGACCTAAAGGTTTAATCCACGAGGCAGTGGAGCAACGTTAGGCGATGCAGTCCCATGGTGGCCAGTGACCAACAATAGTCTCATACGCCGTTTGTTTCTTTATGATCCCGGAGCCCATGTGCACCATTGGTTTGGAATCAGGGTTTTCCAACTCCGCTAGGTGGGTCCTGCGTGCCCACTAATCTGGTGAAAATGCTGGACATTCGCTTTTCGTTCTCTTGATTTTGTAAACAACACCCCCGCCTCGAAAAGGCAGTGAGTAAGACTTCCGTGGAGGTGACTGAATACGCGTGGCCATGTGAGAGCATTTGGAGAGGGAGAGCAGACTCTCTTCACCCCCGGTCGTATCAGGGCATTTGGGGTATAGTAAAACCAAGTTAGAAAGAAATCAAATGAATACATAGAATTGTACAAGTAAATAATTCATCATCCACAGTATATTGATCGTTAAATTTTACTAAATATATACGTTTCCTCATGCGTATTACATCTTTTAATTGCAGACTGATGCACAAAGTGTCACTTCGGTCTTGTTTGTGGATGATAATACCTTTTTGTCTGCAGGATCATCGGATGGGTAAGTTAAATTGTGTAGTCAGTATGACACGCGATATTTTTTAGATTGATTACCAGTAGATTTATTTCATCACAAAGTTGTTTCTGAAGATTGTCGAGGCAAACACTGCCTAATAAATCCAATCACACAGTCATTAAGACCGTATATCTGGTTACCAGAATAGTTGAACAAATCGATTACCAAGTAGTAACAAATTCGGTTTCCACCTTGATGGCATGTTTTATTGGTGCTTTTAGTTTGATGTAGAATATTTTCAATCACTCAACATAAAGATCTACCATGTTTCAAGATCGTGACTACTGTTGAGCGTGGGATTGTATTCACGTTGGAAAAACGCGTTGTACAGCATCTCAGTTACCATGTTATCGATCGTCTTTTACTTCATCCTGCATGGGAACTTGGGCCGATGCATATATATACCTGGTCCTACGTTGTAGCTAACTGATTGATTCATCCTGTATACTGATCAGTCGTAGTATCGTAAATTAATTTTTTTATGATTGATATCAAGAAATTATTTTAGTTAGTATTCGATGATTAAGCGCATTTACCTTGCAATTTTTTTCAACTGAAAGATTCTATGGTACAAACTTTTTTTTTCAGGAAATAATATAGATCCTAATCTCATAGTGTATACGCGCAAGTATAAGATTCAGCGTTCTTTGTATACAGTTTCTAAATGTTTAATACTGTTTCACCTGATGTCGGATAAATGGTTTAAATTATCATCATCTGTATCCATAAAATTCTAAATCATTTTATGGGCTCAACTATGTGTTTTGTTGATAACATTACAAAATAATTCTTAGTGTACATTTGCGTCAATCAACGCCATATTTCTCAGTGAGCAAGAGTGGGTTTTAACGTAATCGTCTCATAACGTATATGGTCATCCGTTCTTGAATGTTTTTTACTGGAGAGCATCAAACTATGATTACACATATGTCTAATACTTTTTGTTATTAAATGATTATCTAATTAATTTGTCATTTCGTAACGTAAAGCTGTTTTCACATTTTCATTTTATTCGCTTATTTTCCTTTATTCTTTTTAACAGGTCTATCAAGATGTGGGATTTAAGACGAGTGTTTTGTGTTGGAAGTAAAAAGCAAGCAAAACCAAAATTTATTTTACCTTATTCAGGTACTTCACAAAAACAAAGTGGTAAGTAGTTTCAATTCAAAAAATATTTTTGCAATTTTTATGGAAAGTAATCTAATGGAATAATGCCCCTTAAAGGTTTAATTAAAGGCATTTTTTAAATTCTCCTTATAATGTAATCCATCTTGTAAGTTTATGAAGACTTGTAAATACAGCTGGTTGGTCTGAGTAGTCTATTCATCTCTTTCGAATGAACTTAATGAACAATTCGGATTGCATATCGGTGAAATAAACTCAACTAACATGCTGGAACGGCCACTCGTAGTGCATCTTTGGTTCTTTCGTTAATATTCAGTAATATTTTTTTTGTATAACTACTTTTCGTAATGTGACCATTTCCTTCAACTTTGTAACGATGATGGTGAATACCATAGTAGTTCAATTATCGGTCATCAGAAATTGATTATTGGAGAGAAAACTATGAAAGTCAATTATCTAACTGCTACCAAATCTGTTGCTTGTTTGTTATATGTAGAATCGGATAATAATGATTGTGATAATTATTAAAATGCATATTTAGTGTCATCTTGATCAGTGTGATCTCTTTTCACTGGGCTAAGTTATTAAATTGTAACAAAAATTGTTTGTAGATGGTTGTTTTGTTTAATTATTAAATTGTATTTTATGAAATCTCATATCCTTTATTACCATCTTTTTTTCCCAGTTTTAAGTATTATCCATCCTCCGAATTCTCTAAATAAAAACAATGTTTTGTGCTTTTATTATAAATAATCTTGTAGTGGAATTTTATTCATGATCTGTGTCCAATATTTACATGATATACCTTTTGATTTCAGATATAGTTACTGAATATTTTCACCAGTTGAATTCATTGTTTACAAGTAATCAAAGAGCATAGCATCAACATGTTTCAGCTTTGGAAGCTGATAGGTAATGAAGGTTACTGCAAACTCACTGAGCTATTAATTAACATTTACTTCTGTGTACAGCCAAACCTAAAAATACACACAAATCTACGTTAATCAATCAGTTATAGGCGACATAAGAAACGGAAACAAATGTCCGTCGGTTCAGGTTACCACACAACATCAGAACGATAAAATGAAATTATCAAGTTAAATAGTAAAAAAAAGTAAAATCATAGTACTTTCAGTAGTAGTAAGGAAGACTAATCATCAGAATGCATCGCTTGAAAGGCAGGTATGTATGAATGAATATTAAAACTCACGATTGAAGAGAAGATAAAAAAATTAGACGCTAATGCAATCGATTCCGTATTATGTTACCCGACGTCTCATACTGCTGACTGAAGTTATCCCGGATAGTCTACACCTTTTGACATGGCTGAATTTAGTATAAATCGGATGAAAAACATCAGAAGTTTAGAAAATCCTCTGTAATTTTAAATTATTTCATCCCAATGTAGACAGTGAATAATGCATTTGTACATTAATAATGTGGCAGATTGACAACTGAAGACATTACTCCTATACTCCTAATACAGATAAAAGATTTGATGCACCTGGTTGAAGACATAAGTATCTAGTACAGATCAGACAAACATAAATGAATGGGAAATTAGTGTTGGTGTATGGAAAGTTGATCCGAAAAATTAATAGGAGCTAAAATCACTTACCCATATATAATTTTAGTTCCGAATCCATGTGATTTACATAAAAACTAACTATAGTTTTTGCATACGTACAACTGATAAATGAGATGAATCAACCGACAAGCATGTTTGACTTAAGATCAATTATCGGGGTCAGATAATCCTCCGTTATAATCTTGTGTCACGAATTATATAATATGTATATTTTATATATGTGATTTTTTATTCGTGTTATCATTGATTGTTTTTCCCTTGTTTTAAAAAATAGAAACAACTAGGACTGTTTACCGACATCATTAGTAGCTAACTGTTTATATATATCATTTCTCGGTGTGATAATGAACTTGCTTACTGTTTTGCTAGGAAAGGCTTTAAGTGTTTTTTTGTATAAACTATCTCCTGTTTGTTAAACAGGATTGAATCATTATTAAATCAGTCTCGAACACTGCTCAAAGCACAAGCCTGTACTTATATATGTTTATGCTGGAAATCCTTATACTTATGGATGTTATTATCCTTTTCACATCAAGAAATGTAGTTAGTGTTGCAGGTAACCTTGTAAACAATGGCTTACGCTTATTGATTTATATTATTGTTCAGAAAAATTTCAACTTAATGAGCTTTAACACGAATAATAATAATACCATGCAAGAATTTTTGTGTATGCTTATATTGCGATGAAACCCGAGGACTGTTTTATGCTAGCATATTAATAGTTACCTCACAAGAATTAGGTTTTTTGATTTGTGTTTGTGCCATGTTTAAGAATCTCTTCAAGCTAATCATTAGTATTACCTGACCACATGTAATTCTTCCGAAGAAGTTATTTGATTTATCTCAAATTCACATTTTTTTATTATCATCAAAGTGTTTGTTCACTTGAGTTAATTTTAAATGGGACTCTACTGATCACCAAAATATTTATGACACCCTAAACTATTCCAGTTTTTTTCATTCAGTCGAGTTATTATATGAATATTGATTGCGAAGATGACCTAATTTGAAATAATTGTTTCTATTCTCTTCAAAGTTGGCTGATTTCATATCAGGGAGTAGTTTGAAGGTTATCTGAAAACAGAACAACAGAAGTAATCGAAAAAGAAATACAATTATCCATATACTTATTGAGCAATAAGTATTGGAATATACTGGAGCCTTGACTTGATAGTTAAATCGCTAATTTTGTGACGATTGTATCAAATGGTTGAATTCCATTCCACTAAATTCAGTTTGTGGAATTAGTTAGCTTATTGCTTTCTCTCACAACGAAATTTCTTAGCTTAAATCTGGATGGACTTATCTGTATTTGTTGATTGGGTTACATTAGTTTAAAGAAAAGAATGTCAACATGAAATTACGCTTTGACAGAGTACATAGTTAGCAATTAAATAAATTACTCCATCCAATCATCAATGTTAATTCTTTTGCTTATTCATCATTATTGTAAATAGTTAGAATTCAGTCAGAACTAAAAATATCGAACGACTGAACTTTAATTGAATATATGAAGAAATCCCCTTTTTAAATCCGGCGCTTGTTTAATGTTTCGTTATTATTAGTTTTTAGTCTCAATGGTTATTGGAACTTATAAAATTATCAATCTTCCATTTCAGGCTATTCGGATTTGGTAGTCAATTCGTATAGAACACGTCTATTCGCCAATTGCCTAGATAATGTTGTATATGAATATGATCTGACACAGTTAACTACACAACCAGGTAAGCATATATATATATATATATATGACCTTTTTTGCAGGTATAATTTTCTGCCTAAAATTTGTGCATTTTCTCAAAGCAAATAATCATTTTAAGAATTTTTATGACGGTAGTAATTCGAAAACAATGGATTACTCTGTAATTGTATTATTTTTATATTTAGTATTTCCTTTTGCGATTTAGGTCTGAATAATTCAATGTTTTATATTCAAGGTAAAATTATTAGCTTATATCTAAACTCGTTGGAAGGTATGTAACGTCTGTTTAGTTCCTCCCATCTTTCACTGCTCAAAAAATAATTTAAAATAAAACAAAGTACAACTTTCCATTTTTATTAGTTTATCTGTAATGCAACAGATATACTAAGATTTTTATATTTCTCATTCACCTCCTTTATGACCAGAGTAAAAAATAATGGTAAAATGATTTCCGATTTTACGTTTCCTTTCTCTTTTTATTCAGTCATGTATCTCTGTTTTACTTTCCAATTTATAACGCTACCCATTTGAATATTAAAAACAATCACTAACAATTAAACTGATATCTTAATTTCTTTGGGTAGTTCTAATTCTAATCAATGACTATTTGTATAGTTAGACGGTTTGTAGAAGTTCATTCGATTTCAAGGTAGTTCCTGTGGCGTGCTGACATCGATTCCAGAATAATTAACCAAATTTTTCCCTTCATATAAGCTTACTCTGGAACTGATTTGTACAACTCCAGTCAAAACGAAACGTAGAGCTGTGTAATCTGACAACGAGTATAATACTTTTAAATCACTCGTTGAGAGTTAAATAGTTCACTGTACAACACAATGGTCATCTAAATTTGTAGATAATAGATCGTGAGTCTTCCATCGCTAACAGGCTTCAAACTAAAATGACATAATTGTGTAATACTCTCTGTTCTTTATAGGGTCTTTAGATGGTAGCTGTCCATGGCGAGAGCTATCCGTAGATGTTCATTGAGTTTCACGGCATCTATGCAGTTCAAGATTACGATTGCTTCTTAGTGTAGCACAGTCGATGAGAATTCGATCGTAAATTACGATGAGTTTAAATATAACTATCTAGCAAGTATTCTCTTTTCCATCGTTTTCGACAGAAAATGCTGAAACAATGTAGTTATTTTCTGAATATACAGTTGAATATGTTAAATTTATTGTAAAGTAGTATCTTCATAGTAATATTCATTTCAATAAAAATCATATAACTTCAGTGGAAATCAGCATGTATCAAAATAATGCCATTTTTCTTGTTGATCGTCTGTTAATCTCTCTGAGTGTAAGTTGGGCTTTATTTCAAACACGTAATCACTATGCTATAACAATCATGTTTATCGATTTACAGATTTTATTATCTTAAGTCATTTTACTTTCCCTTCCAGTTTTCGTTTATACTGGTCATGTGACAGATTCATTCTACGTGAAATTAGATATCAGTCCAGATGATTCCTACATAATTTGTGGTAGTTCAGATCGTCGAGCGCATATTTATGCTGTTGGTAAATGTCGACAACAACCAATAGTTCTTTCCGGTCATACAGGTGAAGTTAGTGTTCCACGTTGGTGTAAAGGCGATCCTACTAGGATTGTTACTTTGTCAGATGAATCTCAAGCATTTGTTTGGAATATGTTCCCCGCTCGACGTTATACTTTACCGGATTCGGGGGAATTAGCAGGTAGGTATTAGAGTGATTACTTTTTCTTTTCGACACGTTTATCACCTCACAAACCATATTAAATTATTGATTGAAGTCTAATAAAACACTCAGTAATATACTCCTTGATTGATGAGACTGTGATTACTGGTGATTTGCTTCATCCTGCACAATATAGATAGCTAACATTTATTAAATAGTCTGATGAAAATTATCTAGATTCGAACTATAATTGCGTAATCTGGTATACTCATGCTCTAAATGCCATTGCCCTTACACATCTGTTGATGTCGATTTTGATTTTTTTTAGTGACAAACCGTTATTTTCATTATTCTGATGCATTGATAAAGCTCACATATTGTGCAAATCTGATATTTGCTGTTGAACTCGGAGTCAACTTACGCGCACAACCAGAATATTAATCCTTTGTCGTCATTTTAACTCTGTGAATAATACTTTCGTGATATTACTTATAGATACTGCTCTTTATTTTTTTATGTTGTTACTAATATCACTCATACTTCTATATCTTTTAGAATTGAAATTCAGTCCTCTCCTTTACTTCTCTTTGTGTTAGTTCCCTTCCTCACTGTACTGTTTTTATATGTGGCAACTTTGATCGATGTACTTTTATGTCAGTTCATGCATTAAAGATTATACTACCGGTGTATTCCAATCGAATTTAGCGGAGTGAGATTTAAACCTTTGATCAAATAGCTGAAAGTTGAGTACTTTGAAAATTAATCCACCTTTTTTACTATTGGAACCATATCCTATACCCCAAATAAAACAAATATCAAAAAGTAATATTCACTGGACAGTTAACTAAGCATATACTAGCGAAATAAAACTATAATATCTGTGTGTTGTTGACTGGATTGCATATAGTTAGTCACTGGTAAAAACAGTCAATAATGCTGAGTGTCTAATTGTTGTATCGATTAGTTATAACTGCTTCTGCACTCAAAACTCTCCTTTAAAATTGTGAAATTGATAGTGACGTGATTTGATCTGAGGAAATATTCTACTCTTTGATGTCTTCGTTTTTGATTCATAGGTCTCGCTGAACTTATTTCACCTTCAAAATCACTTATGAACACAAGTCAACTAGAGAAATGTATTTTATCTTCAACTATATCACAGTCGAATAATGTAAATAATAAATTAGGTAGCCTTTCTTTACCCGATTTCAATTGTCGATCACCCATGACTTCAGCTCGTCGACGACAATCAAATATCCGACATTTCCTTGAAACTGTCTCTCCAGTTAACTCATCTAGTTCTACATCAACTACTAACAAATCTTTGGTCGCTTTATCTTCATTGTCAAACATTATGAGTACAAATGGTGTAGTTTTAAATTCAAATCTACAAACAAAACGGTTGCCAAGTTTAGCAACGCTTACCGAAACTTTAGGTGGGGTTGTACAACGATTTCCAGGCTTATCAACAGGACTCCAAAATATCCATTCTGCACCGAGTACACCTCCTCTAGGTTGTTATTCTTTGAACTCTGTCAATCGTAGTCCATTTATTAATACTCCAACAAAAATTGAATCCCCTATAACACCAGAACAGTTGCTTATTCATCCATTCTATATGGGTAGGTTTACTTTTTTAATAAACTCTCCATTCTTTACCTATGAAAAATACTATCGTGATAAATATATGCATATCCTGTTTAGTTTCTTGCATACTTTGAGTTTTCACAAAGTTGTTTAAATTCGTTACTTCTGTGTATGACATAGTTGAAACACATAAATAACACCAATTTTTTAGTTGGTACTTTTGACTGAATTCATTATTCATACTTTACACATTGTCTAACCATTTTGTCAAAACTAGTAACCTTTATGACAGTGAAGTTAATTGTCTTCTAGAAGTTTCATATAATTCATGTAAGAGAGTCGTTTGGTCTTATATTTATTTATGTATAGTATTATTTACAAGGTTTTTGTAAACAAGTCGAAATATGAACAAGCTATGGAGAGGAAAGTTTTGATCTTTAACAACGACAAAAGTAAATAAAATATGGAAGTGAAAATAACACCGACTAAAATTTATCAAAAAAAGAACTTGTCAGATGGCAAAAGCTATAAACCAACTTCAAAAACCTGTCTATCACTTATTAAATGGTTTAAATAATTTTTTTCTGGTTAGCGCTTTTTAACGAGTTAGTTTTCTACGGGATCGGGTCTCTAACCTCATGCCCAACCCTCCTCCTTTATCCGGGCTTGGGACCGGCAGGCGGAGTTATCACTCATTATTATTACTTTATAGTATATACTTTTAGTTAATATGACAAATAAAATTGTGTATTTTACTTTTTTTATTTACTCACGCATGATGTTATCAGAAGATTCTGAAAATATTAATCCAGACGATTTGTTACACTCAGTGTCATCTCGAGGTCTTCCTTTGGATTGTGTTGATGGACGAGTGTTAAGTCAGTCTCCAATTATCCGTTGTTCTGTAGACAGACCTGCGTATAATCCGAATTCTCCGACTACACCATCAAAAAGATTCCCATTATCCTTAAATCAATCAATTTTTAATACTCCAGTGTCACAACCGGTAAATTAATCGTCATAAATAATATTTGTGACATATTTTTATGAGGTAGAAATAAGTTTTTTCTCAGTAATTTTTATTATTACATTTGGGAAGAGGATTAGAGTTTAATGTGGTGGGTTTCTAAAGTGAAAATCTTTTAATTCACCATAGGTATTTCAAATTATTTTAACTTAAAGAAAGTAAGTTTTAATTGCAATATTTTGTACGTGTTTGTCTTGTTAAATCATTGATTCAGAGTTGGTAACTCATTATTTTAGCGACTATATTATTCCATTACTACTAGTATATTATTAGAAAAGCCATGTTTATATGGTTGCTTAGTAAACTTTGGTAATCCAAGTATAGTTTTAAATAATACGGCTCAGTCAAACTTATTACCTTATATTTAGTAGGATTTTGTGATTTAAAAATTTTTAACAGACACATGAGATTTCAACTCAGCAAAGAGATTGAAAAAGAAGTATATAAAGTAACAAATCATATAAAGAAGAGTTTGTATAGTAGATCATCACCTTTTAATGAAAACAAATGACAACGATTAACCCTTGCATTTGACTCCGTAGACCGCGAGATTCTGTGGCAGTGTCTGTCACTGAAAGGCGTACCTGAGAAGTACATAAACCTTGTGAAGGCTCTTTACTCGAACACTACCAGTCGAGTCCATTTTTGTTTAACTTCATCATAGATCTATTGATGAAATAACGCTCTCATCGACTGAATTCTCGGGCATTGATCTCCTACCAGGTGGTCCACTTATCGACTTAGAATACACAGATGACATAGTCCTGTTTGGTGAAGACGCTGATAGAATGCAGAGTCTTTTGGTAGCACTGAGCAACAATTTTCAGACTGTTTAGAATGCACTTCTCTCCCTCTAAATGCAAGTTGTTGCTTCAGGACTGGTCTGCGTCAACACCTGAACTAAGGATAGGGAGTGAAGTAGTCGAACGCGTTGACAACTTCACTTATCTTGGAAGTCTGATCAGCCCTAATGGGTTGGTGTCTGACGAAATCTCAGCACGGATTCGAAAAGCTCGCTTGGCTTTTGCCAACTTACGTCACCTTTGGCGAAGGCTAGATATCCGTCTATCAATAAAAGGACGAGTATACTGCGCGGCAGTCCGTTCTGTTTTAATTTACGGCAGCGAAACATGGCCATTAAGAGTAAAAAACACTCGTAAGCTACTAGTATTTGACCACAGACGCCTTAGAAATATTGCTGGCGTCTGCGGGGATGACCGGGTAAGTAATAGTGAGGTTAGACGCAGGGTATTAGAGAATGATAGTAAATCAGTTGATGAGGTTGTGAATCTTCATCGACTAAGATGGTTGGGTCACGTGTTACGTATTCCTGAACACCGATTACCACGACGTGCAATGCTAACCGCGTGACCATCGTAACCAATGGCTGGAGACTCTTTGTGACATTGCTCAGAACCGATCACAATGGCGTCGGTGTAAACACTCTCTGTCTTCCCTTAAACTATGAGATTAAAATCACTTCATATCTTTCTTTCTACAAACTAATTCTTTCTTCCTGTACTATATCCTTATATGTGTAGTCTTTCTTTTATATATTACCACCATTGACTTAACTACTCCTATGAATCCGATGTTCATCTTGTTGTGCTAATGAGGGGTGGCAACTGGGACCGATGCATATATGTGCCTGGTCCTACGTTGTAGCTGACTAGACTGACTCCTTGCACAATTGAAGACTGTCAACAACATGTAACCTTGCAGATTATACCATAGGTTTTTTATCCATGAGCATTGTGTTATCATTTCAGCAAGATTTCAGACACACGAATAGTCCTGTAAATCCATCGAATGAATTTACTGGAGTTCTGGATTTTTTCACTAAACGGTCACAGATCTATTTTCTTATCAACACCTGGTTTTTAAAGTGTTTGTGTTATATAATAGAAACAGTCTTGGTTACATTTTTTCCACACTTCAGTCAGTTGATGAATTATCTATAATGGAATCAAGAAAACGTAGAATATCAGATATATTTGATGTTTCTCCTGGTTCAAGTCCAACTCTTGTCAATTCTGGTAGAATTGATTTGCCTAATAGTGTTAATCGTGTCAGAGAAAAAAGACGTCGGTTAACTGCATTTCCGTCAACTTCACAATCGGTTGCTTCTCCCAACAGTTCTCCTATCGTTCCAGTGACTGTAAGTATTTCAAAACATTTATTTTGCTAACTGATAAAGTTTTGTCCGCTACGTTCATTTCCCAGCTTATTTTTTGATCCCAACAATCCTTTATTACCTCCTTTTTAGACCAACATCAGCATACTGACTCCACCATTCACGTATGCTAACTCAGTCTACCAAAAAAACTATAAAATAACCTTATTTATCCATGCTACTTAGTATACGTTTATTTATTTATTTCTACAACAACAAATTTCCCTAATATAGGTTATCAAAAATCACCCTTAATAAAGCTAAATAATGAATTTGAGATAAGATGGAAGAAAACATAATCTTGTAATGAGTGGTGATGCAAACAATAGTAGTATTTATTGTAAGGCATAATTCAGTGTTAAAAAATAACCAATACAAACGCCGTTCCTTTAACGGGTGCATCTTATTTTCATACCACTCTTGGAGAAATGATTTGCATCTTGTGGACTTCAAAAAACAACATCTGAAAGTGGCAACTTTTGGTTTTTTAGCAGTTGAAGTCCATTTTCAGATCTTCACTTCATCTGTTAGATCTGTAGTCGCTTACTAAATATCACTGACTTCGCAACTTCCCTTGATAAACCCTCCGTATCCACCGACCTGAATGTACGCTTTCCCATGTTATTTAACAGGAGTCACTTTCTTCATGTGAATATAATTTCCGGGCTTTCTTCAGGAGAATCGATAAGCACGTAGTCGTTGACTAGATTTCATCGGCGTAGTAAAATCTAACTCTCAACCGTACCATGACATTTAGTAGACGTATTTACCTAGATTTTATGTGCAATAAATATACAGAATAAAATAAATTATTTTAGTTTTTCTATAAATGTATTATTTACAAATTTATTATTATTACTTTTTGGAAATAGAATTCTCGGCGTCGACGAATGACAACAATGTGTTCTTCCGCACATAATCCGATCACAAAGTATTTCAAGAAAAATGACTGACGTTTTCAACAGATGCTACCTTTTTGTAATATAATTTTAACTTGTAGATATTCTTTTCTTGTATGATCCCTTACATTTTTTTATGGAAGCCAGTTTTTAAATTTTTCTATCCTTATGTATTTTCTTTTTCTTATAACAAAATAAACTCTGACTTATGCACGTTTACGTGTACATTTCACTATACAGTGATATTTTTATATGTGTAGAACTTTGCAACTGTGTTTCTTCATTTTTTAAATAACGTTTTATACCTCAACACGTACAGATCTAATTTTAGGATTTTATACAGTACTGTTTTGTAAAACTTAACCTTTCTGCTTTATATTAAACTGTATTCAATTGAGAAAATAACTTGACCTCATATTCCTTTCATTAAACCTGATATATTGAGACTTTGTATTTTTATAAAATGTGCCATTGTCTATCTGTTTTCTCTGTCAATTGGTGTATACTAGTTTTATCTTGCAGTTGTTTTCAACGGAAGTCTTTACTGTTTTTAAAGTGCATCGTTATTGGGGTTGCAAGAGTCATAATAATCGCTCAACCGCAATACGATTAATGTTTTCCAATCATAACTTTCTCGTGGTATAACTACTGATTGCATGCTGCCTCCCCCTTGCACCACTATAGTTTCATGATTGTTCCAATTATTTTACAAAATAAAGTCCGTTCAAAGATTGAATTACGATTTCATCTCGCCACTATTAGTCATGTACTGACTTCTCAGACTCTAAAACGCCTGCTTTTGTTCTGTACAAGGTTAATAGATAGCATCTGATGATATAGCTGCGAGGTCGTGTAATCCGTGTTTATGTAATACGTAAATGTATTTAGTACGGCAAAGCATGTAACACTGAGTGACTACACCTGCACGATCAATTCATGGAGTCTCGGTTCCCCCTATGTCCATCATATCTTACCTTCTCCAAGTGTTTAATGTTTAACGTAGGTCTTCTTAGTTATCATATGTTTGGCTTCAAGAATCGTATGGTTAAGAACCCGCGGTTTTACCCAACATTCGGTTATGACGGATGACACATTGATTTGTTTCCTCTTTCATTATATTGCTTGAACCGACTGGTAATGTGCATTTTGGATAGTGAATTGAAGCACCCTTCCAGAACTGGAAACATTTGCTGTAACAAGTAATCACACAATCCTTGGTACTTTGCTGCCGATACTTTTATCGAGTTAAATATTACTTTGTGAACGGGTTGTACGTGATCAGTCCAGAAAGGATGGGCTCATAGTCCTGCACAAATAGATCGTTTATTTTTAGAACTGGTGAGCATGTGATATCCCATATTTTATGTAATTGGCGTAATTTCATTAGTTGAGTTGGTTGAGCAACTGAGTGGCAATATTTGTTTAGATAATAGTGTGCATCGAAATTCATACAGTACGGTTTCGTTTCCAACTAGATTGCTTTGAATTTACACTGGTTAGAAACAGGATTGTTTAAAGTAACCTTCACAATCCGCATCGGTTTGGGACCAACAAGAGGAACGTGTGAATCTTGAAATAGTGTAATGAATCAATACTAATCCCAGTTAATGCAGAACTTCGACAAGACTCGGATATAAATTGCGCAGTATGGAAATTTTATTAAAACATGAAATATGTAATTGTGTAGTACTTGGATTAGTTATTCACCACACGGCCTGCTGTCTAGATTTGATCGTGATTCTGTCAAATCTCAGCTGGTCAGCATTCTGATTTACATTTTCTTGATCGGTCCGAAAATCGGAATTATCTGAACCAGTAAAGTTGAAATTTGAGCTATCCCTCTGAAGTCCAGCATTATCTACAGGGTAAGGATTGGTCAGAGCACTGTCACAGTCAAAATCCGGATAATCTACTTCACTGACCTCTTCTTAGTCTTTATATATGCTCTGAACTACACGGTCATTCAAATCAAGGATCTTTACCATTCTCTGAATAATAATACCCGTAGATAGTCAGTAGTCATTTCCTCGATAAATCAGTACTTCTGGTGGTTTTTTATTCATTGAATAATCTCGAACTATGCGACAGTGAACATTTTAGATGGTGTCATAATTCCCCAAATGTTCAACTTTATGATATTGAAGTAAGAAATTGTCAATGCATTTTCCTATCACTGATATGATATGAGATTGTAGTGACCTACTTTTATCAAGAGAACGCGATTGGTTTAATGGAAACAATTATTATTATAACCAATTGTATCAGTGATTGTTTTACTATACTTGTTTGTTTAAATGTACTAAAGACATTCTTCCTTCCGTTGATTGTGACTTTGCACGAACTTACGTTTGCTCAGTAGTTCCGCTTGTACTCCTTTGGCACGACATCGCCAACAATTATATCTCGCTACAACCATTAATCGCCTTCTGGTTTACTCGGAGGTTTAGCCTGTCCTGGCACTCAATCTTCTTGTAGTGGTGATCATAGTCAAACGCAACTCAACGCCACACTACAACTGGTGAGCCAAATCTAGGGATACGTCTCAACCTCTGATCAAATCTTCCGAAGAAGTCATTTGCGGTGAGTCTATTACTTATCTATCCACGTCTGTTGCACATTTTCATAGTGATATTTTTCAATATATAATATTCTGGCAACAACTTGAGATGACGGTTAACGATGAAAATAGTACTAATATAATAGACTCCGATGTACGCGTACCGAATCCTAGGCACTTTTTATTTGCGTGACGATATATTCCACGCTTTATTTGAGAAATTTCCCAAATTAACTAAATCACTCGAGGAGATTCCATCGGTGACCAATCGTGTTGTACACCACATAGTCACCCGCGGACCCCAGTCACGGCAAGACCACGCCGACTGGCACCGGACAAGCTAGCTTTCGCCAAACGTGAGTTTGACAATTTGCTAGCTACTGGTATTGTTCGTCCTTCTCACAGACCCTGGGCCTCACCTCTTCACATGGTGCGCAAAAGGAATGGAGTTAGTTGGAGACCATGCGGAGACTACCGAGCATTAAACGTAGTTACACGCTTTGACAGCTATCCCACCCCCCATCATAGTCAAACGCAAATCGACGCCACACTACAAGTTCGGGCACAATTTTCTGCCAAACAGTTAGACTGAGAATGTTGTGGATGAGATATTGACGTCGGCATCCAACATCAGTGAGTCAGTCGATAAACGCTTTCTGTGAAGTGAGTTCATTATCCGTTACTATTACATGGGGTATCTCTTCACGGCTATATGTCTTCCTCATCGCTCTTTGGACAAAATTTCCGTTAGAATGTCTGAGTATAAATTCAGGCCATTCAGAATATGAATCAATAACAACTGAAACAAAATATGAGTTTACACATAGGTTGTATTAATCTTCATGAATACGTTTCCATGGTTCATAGATGCAAACCAATTATTTCAAATAGGTTTACTGTGCAACAGCTTATTTAGGCAAGCAGGCCACCAATAACTCTGACGATTCCACTTTCTGTTTTCCAAGATGGGTTGGGTGAAATCTGCTTATTGCCGCATGACCGAGTGTTGGTGAAATGATTACTCTAACACTGAAGCACAAAAATCCTTCACGATGCGATGAGATATCTTTTCTTTTTTGTAAATGTCAGGGAATCTACATCTTCACTGAGTACTGCAAACTCTTCACCGCACTTATGACAGTTTCAAACTACTAACAAGTATCCTTCCCAAGTTATGCTATTTCAATAGGCATTGGTTGATTCAATATAAAATTGATTTTGTTGAACGGTCTTTTGCAGCATAAATAGCTTGGTAGAAAATCTACATGTAATGTGCTTTAAGACACCCGTTGCTTGGTTTGAAATCGCAATCACTCAATCCCTAATTCCATCTCTGAATTAATGCTGCTCATGATAGAGTGAGTGACTTTGTTGAGTTTAAATCAAGCTTCCACTCCTGATGATCAGGTACAATATGCAATCCTACGTCAAACAAGTGTTTATGCGGTCCTGTCATTATTCATGCCACAACTAAAGTCTCCTTTTGGTTCTGAGAATATGTTTGTTCACTCTAGCACATTCGTCTTGAAATAAAAATAACGATCTCCCATTCTGTTCTAAAACTGCATTTAACTCTAGCTCTAATGCATCTGGACTGGGGATGAATTTTCGAGCTAGCAAAAACAGCCTGAGGAAGGCCTCAGTATGAACCATAAAATATTCCTTCATGTTGTCGTTCTCATACAAATCATACTGCAAGTCAGTCAGCTACAATGTAGGACCAGGCACATATATGCATCGGCCCAGGTTGCCATACCGCATCAGCACAACAAGATGAACACCGGATTCACAGCAGTGGTTAGGTCAAAGGTGGTAATATATAAAAGAAAGACTACACATATAAGGATATAGTACAGGAAGAAAGAATTAGTTCGTAGAAAGATATGAAGTGATTTTAATCTCTTAGTTTAAGGGAAGATAGGGAATGTATACACCGACGTCATTGTGATCGGTTCTGAGCAATGTCACAAAGAGTCTCCAACCATCGGTTACGATAGTCACGCGGACCCCAACCAAGTAGTCTGCATCTACCAACATGGCTCAAACTACAAGTTAGTGACTTCAAGCACTGATACCACGTTTTTGTTTGGCCACCCTAAACTTTCTTCCAACCATCCCGAACACCGGTTAGCATTGTACGTCGTGGTAATCGGTGTTCAGGCATACGTAACACGTGACCCAACCATCTTAGTCGATGAAGATTCACAACCTCATCAACTGATTTACTATCATTCTCTAATACCCTGCGTCTAACCTCACTATTACTTACCCGGTCATCCCCGCAGACGCCAGCAATATTTCTAAGGCGTCTGTGGTCAAATACTAGTAGCTTACGAGTGTTTTTTACTCTTAATGGCCATGTTTCGCTGCCGTAAATTAAAACAGAACGGACTGCCGCGCAGTATACTCGTCCTTTTATTGATAGACGGATATCTAGCCTTCGCCAAAGGTGACGTAAGTTGGCAAAAGCCAAGCGAGCTTTTCGAATCCGTGCTGAGATTTCGTCAGACACCAACCCATTAGGGCTGATCAGACTTCCAAGATAAGTGAAGTTGTCAACGCGTTCGACTACTTCACTCCCTATCCTTAGTTCAGGTGTTGACGCAGACCAGTCCTGAAGCAACAACTTGCATTTAGAGGGAGAGAAGTGCATTCTAAACAGTCTGAAAATTGTTGCTCAGTGCTACCAAAAGACTCTGCATTCTATCAGCGTCTTCACCAAACAGGACTATGTCATCTGTGTATTCTAAGTCGATAAGTGGACCACCTGGTAGGAGATCAATGCCCGAGAATTCAGTCGATGAGAAAGTTATTTCCATCAGTAGGTCTATGATGAAGTTAAACAAAAATGGGGACAGTGGACAGCCTTGACGGACATCACTTGAGGTTGCAAAAGCAGATGACTGTTCGCCATAAGCTCTGACTCGGCTGGTAGTGTTCGAGTAAAGAGCCTTCACAAGGTTTATGTACTTCTGAGGTACGCCTTTCAATGACAGACACTGCCACAGAATCTCGCGGTCTGCTTTTAAGTCGAGAAAGACCACCATTGTCGGACGCCGATAAGTATGCCTGTGTTCTAGAATCTGGCGAATGATGAATATGTGGTCGATGCAGCCACGACCAGGTCTGAAGCCAGCTTGAGTCTCTCGTGTTTGCAGTTCACGTGTCTTAGTTAGG